AAGTTTAATTTTAGTGGGAACTGATATTTAATAAGATTCTTTCCCGATTATTTTGGCGGTTGAAAATACAATATGAATTCCGGATTTGTTTTCATTCACAACTCAGAGTCGCCGCCTCGAGTAAGATTCTTGTGTGATATCTACAGGCCCTATCTGGTCCCATTTCACTTTGATTACCCTGTCAAACAAGTCAGCCTTCGCCCCTGGTCTTTTGTGGCCCTCTCCCCCTCCTAAAAACTCTCTCCTCATTTGTCAGCGTGAAAAGTGATCTCCTCTATAAATATAGCTGTAAGAGGATACTCGACGACCCAGAAGAACAAGTAAGCTTTTTGAAACTGAAATTGGAAACGGTATCTTAAACAGACGCCACTTTAAAAAATAATCGTACCAGAAGGGTTGTCGTCATCGTACGCGTTTAGCAAATTCAGACTTGTGTCTAGCTGCTTTTAGTTTGGCAATACCTTTATCGTGCGTACGGTATTTTAACAGACAGCAGAAAATCTGGTTTCCGGTATTTTTGTCTTACCAGGCACACGGCTGCGAAAGCAAGGAGGAGCTTCATGCTGAGTGGTTGTTGTTGCTGTTGGTATAATGGTAATGGTAATGTTGGAGATGGTAGACTTGCCCCTGCGAACTAATGGTGTCACTGGTTAGAGCTGGTTTCCTGGGATAGGTGTACACCCTGTTTTGTCAGTGGCACCCAGGCACCTAACGCGCACTGGCTTTATAGTGAAGGGGAAAACCCCAAGGAGTTTAGAACTAATGGAGCCTCCTCTCTCTCTCTTCGCGGCGCCACGAGCAGTACGCCGCGTTGGGGATCAAATATGGCCGCCGAGTGTGGGCTAAATCTCAAACTGTGGCGGTTCTTTTTATAGAATCTTATCGGGCTGGGCCACGTTGTGGGGGTGGGCGGGGTGGGGGAATGCACGCAAGGAAGAGGGGATGGAGCAGGGATGAATGAGGAGGGGACGAAGGAGAATGGGGAAAATTAATTAAAAGAGAGAGAGAGAGAGAGAGAGAGAGAGAGAGAGAGAGAGAGAGAGAGAGAAAGAAAGAGAGAGAGAGAGAGAAAAAGAGAGAGTGAGACAGACAGACAGACAGACAGACAGACAGACAGACAGACAGACAGACAGACATACAGACAGACAGACAGACAGACAGACAGACAGAGAGACAGAGAGAGAGACGGAGAGAGACAGAGAGAGAGAGAGAGAAATTGTGATCAACTGACGGGCTGACGGATAATGACAGGGAGAAAAAAAAAGATTCTGTGTGTGATACGGATTATTCAATTCTTTAAGAGTTTTATGTTATAATCTAGTTTAAAAATCAGAAAGATGTGTAAAATAAGAAGAGAACTTGTCCAAGTAACATAAAATTATCAAACATACCAAATTATAAAGATAATCTTTCAAGATGCCAAAATATTTAATTATTAGAAATGGATAAAAATATACTTTAAAACTGAATTTAAGATATTATGATTGCATGATTCTAGGCGTGTGCCATAACTAACTTTATGTGTAATATGGGGTGCCCACTACGGATGGGATCGGCCGATCAGACCGATTGCCCGACTCGATCGCCTCAAAAACAAACGTGTTTGTTTTCAGTTTCAGGCGATCGAGTCGGGCGATCGCCCTCGATCGGCCGATCCTGTCCGTAGTGGGCACCCCGTATAAGGAATAGTGAACACAACAGAGGGTCGATGCCAGCTTTATCTGATTGCTAACAGTGCGTCTTGGTCTATAAATAATAATATTATTTATTACAATTATTTTGTTTCCTGGTTTTCACAAAGTAGAGCGCGCAATGATTTCAAATATTTTAAAAAAAGAGATAACAGCACCTTTGGAGGTGTGATCGCATGCATGAGCGTGGATGACCTTTGAAGGTTTTCTTTCTTTTTTTTTTTGTTCTGTAAAGTATGATATGGAGAGCAGCGTTTTTAGTCCCTTATTACACTCCAGGGGGGGGGGGATAATTTATCTCAGTGATGACTCTTGTGTATTAAAATTTGATGTTGCTTTGTTTGGTTTATTTTTTAACAGCAGAATCTTAAGTGAACCGGAATTATTGATTGTGGGATCTTAGGTGTAGACTACAACAATAGAATTAAACCGAGTATAGTTCTATCTAACAAGACTCAAATTCTTATCCACCCCACCCAACCCTCTCCCCTCATCTGATATGGTTTGGTGTTTCTTTAACATAGAAAATATTCATCATTATTGTTGTTGAGTATTGATTTCATATTCTAATGGAGCCTCCACATATCTACATTTAGACAACAGTAGCATCTAATTTGCACACACAATGGATAGCAATATAAATGTATAATATATATATATATATACATACACACACATAATAATTATAATTTTATTTATATATATTTATTTATTTTTATATATATATATATATATATATATATATATATATATATATATATATATATATATATATATATATATATATATATATAAGAATAAGAATACTTTTAAAAAATTGAGTATCTCGGTCTTTCTGCTGGGGTGTGGATCCCTTTCAGCCTGGGTTGGCCTTGGCAGGTAGCGCCGGAGCCAGCCTCTTATGAATGTTAATGATCTAAATTGTGTTGCTGGGGGCATAAAAACACTTTCATTCAAATTTTGTAAATGGAAAACAACTTAACTGTGAAAACTTCGGTCCACTGCAGCATCGTATCGGTTCTTACACTTAAATACAACACAGATGCAAGGCATTTTTACTAATTGACTTGCCTAATCTCAAGGACCTCGGAATAAAACCTTCTTTCTTATCTAGATTTCAGTGCGTGAGTCGGGGATTCGCGCAGAGCAGGTAGACCACAGTTCCGCCGCGAGAGAGGGCTCCTATCAGGCGTGCGGTGCCACCTACAGAGCATCCTCCATTACTTTTAATCTCCTTGGGAAAACCCCCAAAAAGAGGAGTGTGCCGAGTAAAGGTAAAAAGGGCAAAGGCCAATGTAGATTAATTCCGGGGTCAATCTGGTGGGCCGTGCTCTTGAGTTGAACTTAGGCCTAGCGACAATTATGTTTCATTGTCGTTTTCACAAATGGTATGAAATGATGATTGCTTCGGACTAATTACTTCTTATTTATGCCATGCCTCGGTCGCCATTTAAGGTGTTCGGGGTTTGGGGTGGGTTTGGATGGGGGGGAAGGGTTCTGAAAAAAAGAGCTGGATACGAGACTTCGGGGAGGGGGGAGGGGGGGCATGGTGTTAGTTGCTTTGGGGTCAGAGGGAGAGGTGTTTGTTGATGCAGGATTGGGGGAAGGAGGGTAGGTGTGGAGAGAGCTGTTTGTTTTCTTAGCTTGTCTTTCTGGGTCAACTCTATGAGGCACGTGAGCCTATGGTCACGGCCTCATTCGTCTCGCTGATAAATTGTGAATGGGTTCTCCGGAAGGCTGGATGCAATTTTAGCTGATAATAATCGTTTCTGTTTCAGACCTTTTTTTTTTAATTGTTGTTTACTTTTGGGGGTTTGGGGGGGGTTGTTTGGGTTGTTTGTTTGTTGTTTTTTTGTTATTGTTGTAGTTGGGGTTTTGTTTGTTTTGTTCGTTGTCTGTTGTTTGTTGGTTGTTGTTGTTGTTGTTGTTTGTTTGTTTTTTTGGGGGGAGGGTTTTGTTGATTTGTTTTGTTATGTTATACGTTTTAGAGAAATCGGAAAAAGGAGTGAAATTAAGTGATAAAATATTGCTGATGTCGCCATCGGGTCTGAGTTAAATCATGTTGTTTCTTTTCTCCAATAAAAGTTATTTTAGAACATTATTTGCTCATATTCTTTCTATACAAGAGAAGTCACTCTCTGAAGAGCGGATCAAAGGAGCAAAAAATATAGATGTCCCCACCAACGTTCTAAAAGATATAATATTGGTATTTCAAGTAGAGGATTTTAGCCTTCATTTTATGTATAACTTTTGGTTTAGTATGATGACTGATACCTTATTCACATGTGCTATGGATTAATACATTGCTATTATTTACTTTAAGCTAACGATTCTTATTAATCTTGGGAATTTGGTGTTTGTGGGGATACGGGTATTATATATATATTGAAAAAGAAGAGGAGGAAAAAAAACAAAAGACATAGGTTGATCACTACGACTTTCACTGAATGGAAACCCAATCTGGTTCGAATTCCCACCGCATCGATCTTGAACTCTGTTTGGAGTCGGGGGGTTGTTGTTTTGTTTTTTTTTGTTTGTTGTTGTTGTTTTTTTTTGGGGGGGTTGGGGGTGGGGAGTTCTATACTCTTCAACAACAAAAAAAGAAACTTGACACTTTATACGTTTTGAATATTAGGAAACGCAAAATAACATTTCAAATATTAGGGGCATAGTTTTGTAAAGAATCAAGTGTTGTCGCCAAATCACCTATAATCACATGCAGTACACATCAAAACGTCCCTCCAGGCGAGTTTTTACTGAATCCATATTAGCGCCTTGACAACTTTCTCATGCACAGTAATGGACTGCAATTCAGCATGCTGTAACCTCTCTCATTGCCGTACAAAAAGTTACAACTACCACGGTTTACATAGTCCATGTAACACAACCGTAGACAACTGAAAAATTGTTGACTAATGCTGAACTTAATAATGCAATCGGACGATTGGAAGTAGGGGTGACTCAGTAAGCGTGGCAAGTCACTTTGGCGTGTCTAGACAGACCATTGCTGTGTTATGGTCTCGATACAACATTCAAAGTGATAATGAGAGGCCTAGGTCAGGTCTACCCAGGGTCACTACTGCGGCCCAGGATCGTTATATTAGGCACTTCAGTGAACGCGCTCACTATGGCGTCATTTGGCTTCGGAAAGTCCCATAGGGATTTGTTTCCAGACATGACGTCTCATCGCGACAGTGGGTTTAAACAGCCCATATTTTTGTTTAATTTAGGGGACCAACATTCAAGTCCGATACATGTCTTTAAAGACCTGTGGATGGCCTTCAAAACGCTTCTTTCCAGGTCGATGTGCGACTAATGAGTCTCGAAATATTTGAAGTTGAAAAATAGACAATTTTTAACCATTGATTTTTGATAAATTTTCTCGCCATATTTTTTTCAAACTACCCTTGTTGGTAAACCATTCTTTGTTCTTCCAGAAAACGTTTAAATGGTTATCGTAGAAGTCTTACCTTGGCTAGTGTAGTCTTACCCTTTTATCAACCAAATCCGCGAAAACCTAGCTGAACCCTTCCACCGCGACATCGCGCAGAGTCGTGACGTCACACATTTTCGCCTTCATTGTTTGAAATGTACGAGACAGGGAAATACATGGCCAAGAGATTTTTAAACTTTAGTTCAAAAAGTTAATCAATTTTGGTAATGTTTTATAATCACTGACCTCACATTGTGCCTTAGTTCATTCGATAGTGTAAAGAAAACGATACTTTTTAGACCCAAGTATTTCCTTTTCACTGAGCTCCCCCTCCCTCCTTTTTTTCCCCTGCCCAAAGCCTTTCATTGCGTAGGCCTAGGGCCTAGATCTAGTATGAAGAGTCCGGACTCGTGTTGTTAACACAGTCAAAAATTAAATAGGAACGCCTATTAAAGTATCTGAAGCAATTATTTGTTTGATAAAGTTTCTTAGGTTTATTGTTAGTACCGATCCAGATTTTCATTCTTTTCTGTCGTATCAGAGAGTATTTAAATATATTTTAGTGTCTCTGGTCGTATGAACAAGAAC